TTTCAGACATGTTCATGTACCACCACTCAGTAGTTTCAGACATGTTCATGTACCACCACTCAGTAGTTTCAGACATGTTCATGTACCACCACTCAGTAGTTTCAGACATGTTCTTGTACCACCACATGTGTTAGGGGCGTTTATTCTTCTAGCGATTGTGGCCAAAAACACAGACACGCGACATCAGGTCAACCTGATCAGATTTATCGTCCTGTCTGTGTCCAACACGCAGAACTGGAAAATGAACAGAGGGTGTTTGTTTGAGTGTTTGAGTAAAGAGAAGCTCATCGACAGAGTAATGGTCATTTAGTGCTGGGGAAAAGTAAAACGGGCAAACAGAAACAACAGAGGGAAAGTAAGGTACAGTGGAACCTGCCCTGACGGCCACCTCTATAAGACGGACACCTGTAAAAACGGCCACTTTCAATTCCCCCCCTTGCGTTTTTTCTATATAATTTAACTGTGTAAAACGGGCACCTGTCCAACGCGGCCACGGCCACCATATTTTAACACACAACCCCTTTCACACTAAGCAATAACACCTGTCTTAGACGGCCACCTGAGTGACTCCATTATGTTTTGTCTTAAATTGTGTATTTGCCCCTGGCGTTGTGGGTGAGCCGTCATAATTTAATCACCTGTCATTGTTGTTAGGTTATCCCTCCAACCGATCATGTTGCGTAGGCCCCTCGCACTGTTGACCAATAGGTAGATCTACCAATTTTCAGCTGCTGGTGAAGTAAGCGTGTGATCCCTCATAACCCATGAGCCCCGCCCAGAACTCATACTCAAAGTAGGACCTACTAATGACGTCCTCCAACCACCCACACAGAGTAAGTAAAGCAGGGAAAAGTGCCAGAAAGAAAGGATGTATTAAAAGTTTACTTTGGACATTTTGGGTTTCTACTAAGATTATTTTGTGTGTAGATCGTCAGCTTTATTTGCATAGCGCAGGTTAAGTACTGTCATTGACTTGAGACCATTACTACTACTGCTACAGCTATTGCGTGAAGTTTATAGTGCAAAAGAACATTTATTTAGTTTACTTTCAAGGAAAACAATCCAAGCTTCTCTCCATTTAGACGGTGTATCCACCTGACCCACCAGTGTAACGCCTGCTCAAAGGTGTGCGTGCTGAAGTGATTTTCTGAAATTAAGATAGAATTCGATTTCAAAATACGTTAACAGTTTTTGAATTTTATAAAGAAAAGCTTACATATTCAGGTTTTCAGTAAATAGGAAGATATTGAAAAAAAAGTGGTAGTTGTAAATGCCAAATGTAAAACTCTCCCCTTTAAACCCCAGGGATTAAACAACACCCCATGTTTCTGACGTGCGACAAGTGGAACATCTGATTATGGACTTGACTAATTATATACGGATATTCTACGTCTTTTCTTTCCCTCTGTCATTTCTCTGTCTGTCTTACATTTAGCCAGCACTAAATGACCATAATTGTGTAGATGGGTTTCTTTTACTTTAAACCCCCCCCCCAATATTCTACATACTTCGCTGTAGTGAAAGTTTTGTATCCTGATTTATTTTTTTATGAATGGACTTATCCTGTTTTTACTTAACTCCTTTATTCCTTTATGTACGAAAAGTGGATATTAAGACAATAATGATATATCTGCTTGATATATTGAAACGAACCCAGCTTAATCCAGCGGATGCGCGGCTTAGAGCAATATCAAAATAGGACTACCTC